TATGAGAATACTCAAACAAATACCACATCCATTATGAGAATACTCAAACAAATACCACATCCATTATGAGAATACTCAAACAAATACCACATCCATTATGAGAATACTCAAACAAATACCACATCCATTATGAGAATACTCAAACAAATACCACATCCATTATGAGAATACTCAAACAAATACCATATCCATTATGAGAATACTCAAACAAATACCACATCCATTATGAGAATACTCAAACAAATACCACATCCATTATAAGAATACTCAAACAAATACCACATCCATTATGAGAATACTCAAACAAATACCACATCCATTATGAGAATACTCAAACAAATACCACATCCATTATGAGAATACTTAAACAAATACCACATCCATTATGAGAATACTCAAACAAATACCACATTCATTATGAGAATACTTAAACAAATACCACATTCATTTTGAGAATACTCAAACAAATACCACATTCATTATGAGAATACTCAAACAAATACCACATTCATTATGAGAAGGATGGACATAACCAGTTACTGATTAAAACAAAAATTTTTTTCTTCAAAATTAAACAATCACTGCGATTTTAATATATCAGATTAAAATAAACAACCACCATATACATTTTTTGGGGGCCCCTAACTGGGTGGCTGCCACGTTCTGTTGTGGTTTATAGCTAGGCTGCGATATCTGACCTAAAGTCTTCAGTCTTCGGTAGTAGAGTTGTAGGTATTCCGCCCTTCACGTGTATAACGGGTGTTCGATTCCGAACTAATTTTTCTTTTTACCCCAAAGGGGCGATTAGCACGTTGTGTTGTTGTTTAAAGCTATGTTGCGCATCTGCGCCTTACGCCCTAAGACATCCGACTAAGTACAGTCCACATAAGCGCCCCCCCTCCCCCCACCCGACGCTTCATTCGATCAAAAACTATTCGTTAATGACAGAGACTAAGAAGGCTTACGGTCCAGTTTGGTTTGGGTCGACACGGATGCCAAGGTTAATTAAACATCGTCACTTCGGACAGGGAGAGTTGACGAATGCGGGTTTTTATTTCCGCTATTTGTGTGTATAGTGTACATTGTTTTTATATCACGGAATTTTACTGTGGGTTCCATCACTGGTTAGGTGATGGAGTTTTATGTCGGGGACACACTTAAACTAAACGGTCCGTGGGGACAGCATGCGGCGCCAACTCATCTGGCTACAACGACCTGTACAGACAGTAGTTACCGTTTTGTGTTGTTGTTGTTGTTACGGTGGTGATGGTAGTGGTAGCAGTAGTACTGGTACTCGATGGGTTATATGGTTGCTGTTACACTGGCCACATTTACTTCTCAGTACAGATTAATGCTACCTATTTTTGTCTTGGTGGACACGGATGCCAAGCTCAATTTAACAACAATATTTCGTCAGGAGATGACTTCTCCATACTTCGTAGAGGATGACATGATTGGGGGGTGGGAAGGGGGGGGGGGTGTCGAGAGGGGTTGATGCCAGACACTGTTAACTAAGAGAGCTTATATTTTTTTTTTTTACATTTCTCAGTTTTTAACTATTTCCATTTTAACAATGTTGCCATATAATAATGTTTCAATCATTCTGAGAGGGAGATATAATTGGGCAGATGCTTGAGTCCTTGGTAGCGTAGTTGTCTATTTTGCGTGTTACGTGGGTGACTGGCGATCATTGCCCCGCTAGGTGATATAGATTTTTATTGCCTTTAACTAAGCGCCTGGGACGTTTTGTTGTGGTTTACAGCTAGGCTGCGATATCTACGTTTTATTTCCGCTAGATTTGGGGGTTTACAGCTTGCCTGCGATAGCGGCGACGAGATGTTGGTCATGTCACTGGTAATCTTTGTTCGCCTTTGAGAGGGCGGTTGGACCGTTGTGTTGTGGTTTACAGCTAGGCTGCGACATCGGACCCATTCTCTTCAGTCTTAGGTAGTATATTTTTACGTAATTCTCCATTCACGTGGTTGACCGGTGTTCAATTACCCACTGGGTGCTAATTTTCCCTTTTCTCTCAAGAGGGCTGTTGACATGTTGTGTTGTGATTTACAATTAGGCTGCGATATCTGCACCCTTCGCCCAAAGACATCCCATTTCAGTAAAGTCCCATTTATCCTCCCCGCGACGCTTCACTCGATGATAAACTATTCGTAGATGACAGAAGCTGTTAACTAAGACTGCTTACAGTCCAGTTTACTTTGGGTGGACACGGATGCCAAGGACATTTAACATTCGTCCCTTCGGAGAGGGGAGATGACGGGTTGTTTTTTTTAATTTCAGCTATTTGTGAGTATAGAACGGACTATTACTGTGGGTTTTCTTGTTCTTTGTTGGGAGCTCAATTACACTAAATAGTCCGTGGCGACATCATGCAGCGCTAACCCCTCTGGCTACACCGACCTGCACAGACAGTAGTGACTGTTTTTTGTTTTTGTTCTGAAGGTGGTGGTGGTAGTGGTAGCAGTAGTACTGGTACTGGATGGGTGATGTGGTAGCTGTTACACTAGCCACATTTACTTCTCATTACACATTAATGCTATCCATCTGTATCTGGGTGGACACGGATGCAAAGCTCAGTTCAGTTACAATATTTCGTCAGATGACGACTTTCCCATCCTTCGGCGAGGATGATATGATTAGTGGGGGAGGGGAAAGGGGGGGGGGTGGGGGTTGATGGCAGACACTGTTAACTGAAAGAGCTTAAAACATTATTTTAAAGTTATCATTTCTTAACTATTTCTATTTTAACAATTTCGCAAAGTGATGATTTTTTATTCCTTCGGAGAGGGAGATATGACAGGGTGGAGGGGGAGAGGGACGGGGGTTCAGGGTTATTACAGACACTGTTAGTTAAGAGCTACTTTCTTTCTTTTCCATTTCACCATTCGGGGCCCCAGCAACGCGTGGCAGGGCACATCTAGTTTAGAAATAGAATTAAAAAACAACATCTTAAGACAAACAGAGGAATTTAAGTATTTGGGCTACATTTTCACATCCGACGGAAAACTGGACAGAGAAATTAGCTCAAGATGCGCTAAAGCTAATCAAGAAATTGGACAACTATCTCCCCTGTTGACACACAAGCAGATACCCCGGAGTACTAGAGCAAATCTTATCAGAACCATCTTTGGCCAAACTATACTATCAGTGCCAAACGTAGACACTTTCATCCTCCAATGAAAGTAAAATTGTGACAACAGAGATGAAATGCCTTAGAAGAGCTGCAGGAGTTTCAATGAAAGACAGAATACGAAATCAGATAAATGCTTTGAATAAAGCTGGTTTAACAGGTCACCAAAGAACAATAAATAATGTGGCCTGGACACCTAACAAGAATGCCCTGGTACTATCTGCCACAGCGAGCCACACTAAAACGTTACAACGGGTATAGAGCGAGTGGAGGACCTCGGAAAAGATGGAGTAATGGCATTAGGAACATCCTTACAGAAATGAACATAAGTCTTAATAGTGCTCTTGACAGAGCTCATCAACGAATGTTACATCTCCCCCCGACACTTCGCTGAGGTACAAGGTGGAAGAGAATAATAATAATAATAATAATAATAATAATAATAATAATAATAATAATAATAATAATAATAATAATAAAAAGACTACAGTGAGAAAGCTACGAAGGGTTTATCAAAACATTTTCTCTCACATTGTGTTCTCTCTCTCTACCTCTCTCACATTCCCTCTCTACTGCTGTTGTTTTATTTGTATTCAACGCCTTTTAGCTGCACCTAAGGCTGCCAGCGCCTTGCACCGTCCCAGCGCCTTGCATCGTCCCAGCGCCTTGCACCGTCCCAGCGCCTTGCATCGTCCCAGCGCCTTGCACCGTCCCAGCGCCTTGCACCGTCCCAGCGCCTTGCACCGTCCCAGCGCCTTGCATCGTCCCAGCGCCTTGCACCGTCCCAGCGCCTTGCATCGTCCCAGCGCCTTGCACTGTCCCAGCGCCTGGCAAATTCAATTAAAGTCGCCATCGCTTCCTGGAACCATCCCAGTACCCCTCCCCAATTTTTTTTTTTTCAGGGGGCGGTAGCGCCCACTTTGGGAAACAGTGACCTTGATTATCTGCTCAGGTGTAAAATAATTGTTTGAGAGTTTTCTACATGATAAATTCCCTCTTTAAACACAGTAACATTTATTTATTAGGCTGTGTGGTCTCGAGGCATGGTGTCCGCCTCGAGTGCTAGAGGTTCTAGGCTCAATCCCTAGCAAGGGCTGTGATTTTTTTTCACGTGGACTTGGACTTCTAGTAATTCACCCTGGTCTCTGGGTAGTGCGATCGGATGCCCGTGTGCACTGTTGCGCACGTAAAAAAAAAAAATCCCTTGGCAGTTGGAAATCGAAAAGAGTAGCGTAAGGGCGCTGCCCGGGCAAATTTTTTAGTTAAAAATCTACCTAAAGTATTTCAGGATCCTCGCCGGTGCTACAGAGCCTGTGCACTGTGCTGAGCTTCTTCGGACTCAAACTTGTTAGAATAAGGTTACTACTCGTGTGCCAAGATGTTGATCCGTTTTTCAAACCTCAAACCAGTAACATTTATCTACTGTGCGTGAAATTAGCCAGTCTTTCGCCGGTATTTCATTTTTGTTTTCACCCCAAAGGAAATGTGGGAGTTCCTGGAAAAGTTCCAATATTCTAGATGTTACGGCTAAAAAACAAAACAACAACAACACTGAAGCTTAAATTAGGCGGCACAATTAGCACGAAAATAAAACTGATCTTTTTTTTTCTTCAGCCCTGACCTCCTCGGAGACACAGACGAACCCTAATCCAATTCTCAACCCTCAGTACACCTAAAATATTAGACTTTTTCGGGAACTCCCGGATATCCATTGTCTGGGGTGAATTACGATTGAAGGATCCTTTAGTCTCAACTTAGTAGTGTTTTATAATAAATTCAGTGTTAAATATCCGTTAACAGGAACTGAAATTGATGAAATCATGTTGTTCGCCAATGAATACAGTGTTGTGAGAAAATGAGCAGCACAGCATCTTCTGCTCCAGGGTAAGCTGAATAACAGCATATGGCTGTCGTTGTTGGTTTGTTGGTCAATATTCTCAACAGGCTTTGTCTGTGTTTACATCTCACCCTAAGTATAGTTTCAAACATGTTCAAAACATAAATTAACAAATAGTGCCACTTTCTGAGGCAACTAAATATCAACATGCACACAAGAAAGAAATGCTTGACTGCGGCCTCCCCCATATTTTCACTATGTGTAAAGAAAAGTAAATTTTTAACACCTTCTTTCTCGTCTTCACCAAACACTCGTGAAGAATCAGTTTAATTCTGTGATTTTGTCTACCTTGAAAAGAACACATTAAAGTGTGTTAGCTCGGGCATAAGAGAACATAAGAGAACAAGTCGGCACAGAACCAATTCTGGATTACATACAAAGACAGCAAGTGAAATGGTTTGCCCACTTAGAGAGAATGCCTTGTGACACCATACCTCAAGCATACATGGGAAGAGAAGAAGGACGTAGAGCACGGGGTACAAGAACCTGGAAGGATAAATCAGAGAAACTCTACAACAGCACGATGAGCCTATGGTCGAGGCAGCCAGAAGAGCTAGAAACAGAACCTTATATCTCCCTCGACACCCACAGAAGAAGAAGAAGAAGAAGCTCGGGCATTCAGTGTCACCCCCTTGCTGTCTTAGATAGGTAGGTAGGTGCTTAGCTAAAAAAAAAAATTAAAAAAAAGTCACGTTCAACTAGCATTCCAGAAGGGGGAACTTTAAGTTACAATGGTGACTAGGTTGTGTGTGTCATATAGAATGGCTTTGCACTGTACGCCACCAAAGGCTAGGAAAAGGACACGTGCAGCTTTGATGCGATCAGAGGAGAGAGAGCCAAATAGTATCCCGACCGACGACGAAGTCCTGGGTAAAGCCGATTTTTCTTCGTGGTGCTGTGTCCCTGTATGTGCCCCACTGTCATTGCCAGGCGTGAGATTACAACCGTTAATCTTTCACGTGGTAATAATTGATCTAAGAAATTATTTAACGTTTGCTACAACTATTCTTTAGAACTGATCTAGAAATACATGGAACTAAAGAGGAACTCCCGAGAAAAGTTGTCAAGTTTATGATTAGAGCTCTCTTGACCATTGAGTTTTCCCAGCAAAGTTGTCAAGTTCATGATTAGAGCTCTCTTGACCTTTGAGTTTTCCGAGCAAAGTTGTCAAGTTCATGATTAGAGCTCTCTTGACCTTTGAGTTTTCCGAGACAAGTTGTCAAGTTCATGATTAGAGCTCTCTTGACCTTTGAGTTTTCCGAGACAAGTTGTCAAGTTCATGATAAGAGCTCTCTTGACCTTTGAGTTTTCCGAGACAAGTTGTCAAGTTCATGATTAGAGCTCTCTTGACCTTTGAGTTTTCCGAGCAAAGTTGTCAAGTTCATGATTAGAGCTCTCTTGACCTTTGAGTTTTCCGAGACAAGTTGTCAAGTTCATGATTAGAGCTCTCTTGACCTTTGAGTTTTCCGAGACAAGTTGTCAAGTTCATGATTAGAGCTCTTTTGACTTTTGAGTTTTCCGAGACAAGTTGTCAAGTTCATGATTAGAGCTCTCTTGACCTTTGAGTTTTCCGAGACAAGTTGTCAAGTTCATGATTAGAGCTCTCTTGACCTTTGAGTTTTCCGAGACAAGTTGTCAAGTTCATGATAAGAGCTCTCTTGACCTTTGAGTTTTCCGAGACAAGTTGTCAAGTTCATGATTAGAGCTCTCTTGACCTTTGAGTTTTCCGAGCAAAGTTGTCAAGTTCATGATTAGAGCTCTTTTGACTTTTGAGTTTTCCGAGACAAGTTGTCAAGTTCATGATTAGAGCTCTCTTGACCTTTGAGTTTTCCGAGACAAGTTGTCAAGTTCATGATTAGAGCTCTTTTGATTTTTGAGTTTTCCGAGACAAGTTGTCAAGTTCATGATTAGAGCTCTCTTGACCTTTGAGTTTTCAGAGACAAGTTGTCAAGTTCATGATTAGAGCTCTCTTGACCTTTGAGTTTTCCGAGACAAGTTGTCAAGTTCATGATTAGAGCTCTCTTGACTTTTGAGTTTTCCGAGACAAGTTGTCAAGTTCATGATTAGAGCTCTCTTGATCTTTGAGTTTTCTGAGACAAGTTGTCAAGTTCATCATGAGAGCTATCACCACTGTGACAGAGAGAACAAGAAGAAGTAGAAGAAGAAAAAGATCCTCACTGTTGTCTTACTGGTGAACAAATCTGTCTTTTCTATCTTTGTTAGGGTGTTTTTAAAACACTTCAGTAGCTATATTTAAAGAGGTACGTGTGTGCTTTACAGCTGATTTGTTAAATTAAAAATATCACACCTATACTGAGATGCACAGATGTTTATTTAAAGACTAATTAGCAATTTTATAAAGCAAATGCTTTGTTTCTACAATTTTTGATTTTGTGTATTAGTGTGGTTTTGTTTCATTTATGTTTGTGCTGATGAAGGCTCTATAGCCGTAACGTTCAGGTTTTATTTGTGTTTTGTTATATTGTAAAGCTCGCGGATCTACTTTTCGTTCGGTTTTGTATCTTTACATGATGTTTCCTCAACAGAAAACTCAAACCTGCTGTCTCGAAGAAGTCCACAGCTGAGCCCCAGGTCGGGGCGGTAGCTGCTGATGATACGGCAACGAAAACGAAGAGCGTCACGATCATTCCTGAAGATGGAGAGAAGAATACTCTTACACAAGAACAACCGGCTGCTAATAGCGTAACTCCATTTAATGAGCAGACGGTAATCCTCCTCCTTCCTCCTTCCTGCTGCTGCTGCTGCTGCTGCTGCTGCTGCTGCTGCTTCTTCTTCTTCTTCTTCTTCTTCTTCTTCTTCTTCTTCTTCTTCTTCTTCTTCTTCTTCTTCTTCTTCTTCTTCTTCTTCTTCTTCTTCTTCTTCTTCTTCTTCTTCTTCTTCTTCTTCTTCTTCTTCTTCTTTGTTGTATCACTGATATCAGGGTGTAGCTCAGTGTCCTGGCTTTCTGTATTTGTCTTGCACTTCTCGGGTGGCTTGTCTCACCGAGCCCAGGTTGTAGCCCAGTGTCGCGGTTTTCTCTATTTTTTTTTGCGATCCTCGGCTGGCTTTAGTGACGTATTTGTTTAACTTTTTGCTGGTTTCAGCTACAACATTTATCTGCCTCTTTCTTTGTCTTTTTCTCGCCTATATGAACTGTGCAGGTTATTAATTAACCCCCCCCCCCTCTTTTTGCCATCACCTAGCCCATGTCTGCCTGTAGGTTCAACGCTCTTTCAGCTCGACATGGGCCACTCTTAAACATCAAACATAAAAAAACAACAAAATACAGCAAAGTCATTGAGAAATAGAAAATCAAATAGTTTGGTCGTCTAGCAAGAATGAAACCAGAACAATCACAAACGTAGGGGGCTACACATGAAAAGATCTTATGTAAAAGCAATAGGTCGCCCTAAGAGAACATGGATTGACGAAAATGTAGAGCTTCTGCAGGGACACATAACGACAATAGACATTGCTACCCATCTAGTAACGAATCGCAAAATGTTCCTTTCCACGTCGTTTATCGACATAAGTTGAAATTCATGATAATGATGATGATGATTAAAAAGAAGAAGAAGACGGAGAAGAAGACGAAGAAAACGAAGAAGACGACCCAAGAAGACGACGAAGAAGACGACGAAGAAGACGACGAAAAAGACGACGATGAAGACGACGATCACGACGAGAAGACGAGGACGAGGAAGTAAACGAGGAAGAAGACGAGGAAGAAGACGAGGCAAAAAGACGAGTAAAAAGACGAGGAAGAAAACGAGGAAGAAGACGAGGAAGAAGACGAGGAAGAAGACGAGGAAGAAGACGAGGAAGAAGACGAGGAAGAAGACGAGGACGAAGACGAGGAAGAAGACTAAGACGAGGAAGAAAACTAAGACGAGGAAGAAGACAAGGAAGACGACGACGACGACGATGAGGACGAAGACGAGGAAGAAGACTAAGACGAGGACGAGGAAAAAGACGAGAAAGAAGACGAGGAAAAAGACGAGGAAGAAGACGAGGAAGAAGACGAGGAAGAAGACGAGGAAAAAGACGAGGAAGAAGACGAGAAAGAAGACGAGGAAGAAGACGAGAAAGAAGACGAGGAAGAAGACGAAAGAAGAAAGAAGAAGGAAAAAGGAAGAAGAAAGAAGGACGAAGGAAGAAGGACGAAAGGAGAAGGAAGAAGAAGGAAGAAGAAGAAGGAAGAAGAAAAAGAAAAAAAAGAAGAAGAAGAAATAGAAGAAAAACAGAAGACACAGACGAGGAAGACGAAGAAATGATGACGATGACGTCGAAGAAGAAGAAGAAGAAGTTAAGATTACAAATGATGTCTAATCCACTGTGCAGATAAACCCACTGGCTGCTGGAGCTCCGTACAGCGTGAGAAAAAACGCGGCGCAAGCCATGATGGACGGATCACTGCTCTTTGCCAACTTCTCCCAGATACGAACACTGACATCGTCAGGTAAGACAGATACGAACACTGACATCGTCAGGTAAGACAGATACGAACACTGACATCGTCAGGTAAGACAGATACGAACACTGACATCGTCAGGTAAGACAGATACGAAGACTGATATCGTCAGGTAAGACAGATACGAACACTGACATCGTCAGGTAAGGCAGATACGAACACTGACATCGTCAGGTAAGACAGATACGAACACTGACATCGTCAGGTAAAACAGATACGAACACTGACATCGTCAGGTAAGGCAGATACGAACACTGACATCGTCAGTTAAGAGCAGCTGAAAGGTGAAGAGACAACTAGTAAACTTCTAATGCTAGCTAGCTGGGTTCAGGGAGAACGACAGACGAGGACTTACATACAACAACTGACTGCATTCCCTGAACATTTTATTGTTTGTTTGTTTTAGTATCCAGAAGCCATGAGTTGTTAACCCTTAGGCTCGGTATTATGGATATCGCAACTTTTCGACCTTGATTCCATTGTAAATACTGTAAATCTGGGAGAAACGTGGCTTTTCTGCCTACCCCTGGGAGTGAACCCGGACCACAAACAGTTCGTCACCTGGTCACCGCGCAATCCGGTTTAGCCATCTACGCTAGAGAGCCGAACATTTTATTAAAGTCTAAGCTCGTTGTCAGCCATCCTAACAAATGTTCTCCAAGTTCATCACCTCCTAACATGTAGGTCGAGACCCTAGGGGGGTGGGGGGGGGAAGGGGGAGGGAGGGGGTGGGTTAGTTTGGCGTTCGCTTGGCGTACGTAATGTTTGTGGGAGGTTGTGTTGTTGTGAGTCTACTGCAAGGGGAAGCGCCGCAGGCGCGACGATTCTTGGCTATCGAAACTTGGATGTTTTTGTATTTCTACGTTCGTTGGTGGCGGCTTCCTCCCGAGAGGAAGACATCAGTTACAAACTGCGTAGGAATAGATATGCTCCCGACCGTCGCGCAGGTAGCAGAAGATAAAAATAATCACGCCAGCGAGCGGTCGGTGACAGCAACGCTTGAACCGTTCACAGTAATGATTCCCCCGCAACATAGGAGAAGTCCAGTGACCTAAGGAGGCATGAATGGCAAGGGAAGTTACACTAATCCTGGGCCTAAAAACGCGAACAGCACCCTACCCACAACCTTCTGTCTCGTGTACTTTCAGTCAACTCCGACACAGATGATCTTCCATACCATGATGTCAGACTGTCCAGTATGTGTTCTCTCAGTCTCCCTCTGCCTCTCCTCCCCTCCAACTTGTCTACCGTCACGATGCTCTCTAGTTTTCTTTTTCTCATCATATGACCAAAGAATGAAGATTGTCTCTTTCTGATGTGGGCAGTCCAATTAGTTTTCTTCGTGAGTCAGTTTCTTTCAAGATGTCTTCATTACTCTTTTTATCTGCCCAGGGTTTTCTCATCACTCTATAGAACCACATCTCCGCAGCTTCCAAATTCGCTAGTGTAGTTAGTTAAACTTGACTTCGCAGCGACCGAGTGACAAACTCCTTGTGGTCCGTGTTCACGCTCGGGGGTTGGCAGAAAAGCCCAATTTCTCCAAGATTTGCGATATATATTATGTAATCAAGGCAATTTCCCGAGTACTGAGCTAAAGGTGGTTTCTGGATATTTAAAGAAAAAAAAATATGTCTAGGGTATTCTCATCATTCTCATCATTCGTCTATAAAACTACATCTTCGCAGCTTCCAAAAAAAAAAAAAAAGTTCTACTAATTTATTAACTGCCTATGATTCACATCCGTACATCAGTATAGGATTTAGATGGCTTTTAGGAATTCTCTATCTCGCACATAACACAGTCACAGTTATAGTCTAAAGTCCCCCCTTCGGGGTTGCTAGTTGAATTGATTACGACGATTTTGTTTCTTCTTTCAACAAAGGATGGGAAACTGCACCATCCAACACCAGTCTCTCCACACCACAGGGCGTCCGTCATGCCTAAAATAACCTAGCTTTCGTGAGAAGAATAATTCATAATGATAAAAATAATATGGGAAAAAATAATTGACATTATATGAAATATAAACAAGTACGCAGAAACAAAAGGAGAACCTGTATACATGGTTAAAAGGGCTGTGGAAGAAGGGTGGAAACAAAAAAGGGGGTGGGGTGTGGGGATGGGGTTTCATCTAAAGTGCCCGAACCAGAGGTTGGACTAATTTGTCATTCTTGAAGTCGAATCCCAAGTCATTGCTGCCACCATATAAGTAAAAGACCCTTTTCTACGCCATTGGGCGTATAGGGCTAGACCTATATTTTATAGACCGATCGGCACAAGATGTGTGATGTGGTCAGCATCATGCCACCATTGCCACCATATGTATATATATGTATATATATGTATATGTATATATATATATATGTATTTATATATATATATGTATATATATGTATATGTATACATATATGTATATGTATATGTATACATATATGTATATGTATATATATGTATATGTATATGTATATGTATATGTATATGTATATATATGTATACATATATTATATATTGTATATATATGTTATATATGTATATATATAGATATATATATATATATATATATATATATATATATATATATATATATATATATACCCACACACACACACACACACACTATATATATATATGATATATATATATTATATATATATATAATATATATATATATATATATATATATATATATATATAGTTATAATTTAAATTAGAGGTACACTAATTTGAAAACCGCCCAATCGGGTTTCAAAAACGTATTAGACGGTTAGAAAAAGTTTCATTTTAAAGTGAAAATAGCGCGCGCGTGTGTGTGCGTTTTAATGTGGCCAAAATATTGAATTGGTCTCTTTTGTTATTTTTTAAATTATTTCTTTCAGGAATTTTCTTTTCCTTTGCGGTCTTTCAAGAACCTCTGTATAAGACTGCTTTGTGTCCATGAAATAGTCATATCCTACTGCACATTTCCATTTCCAGAAACCCCGCTCGATTATAGTCCATACATCTTTTTAAGGATGACATTTGTTGTTATTTGAAGCCCCACCCTGGCTTTTGCCAGGGGCCGCAATATAGGCAGGCCATAAATATGGCCAATTGTCTGAACGCGGTTTCTGGGACCTCTCCACGGCGATCCTCATCCACATGGTGGCACTTTGTGTCATCGGGTGATTATCGCTTGTGTGATGTCCTGGTGGGGTAGAAAGTCAGTCCGTCAGTCAGTCCGTTCGATTTTCTGGTTGCCTGTTAATTGTCTTCAGTAGAATATTTAGGGACCCATTAATTTTCCACTCCTTGGTGGCATATGGTGCTGGTTAAATATTTTTATAGACCAGTCGACATTAGATAATTGTTGTAGTCAACATTACCCCGGCACCATCACCTCCAGTGACATTTCCTCCTACCAGTTTTCAGACGGACTCGACGTTGGTGCCAAGGTCGTTTAAAACAAACCTAACCAGAATTCAGTACAGGTTATTAGTTTTTTCAGCATACATTATTGTTCCCACAATATGTGTTATTAATTTGCCAGCATACATTATCTATTTCCCAACACACGTTATTAATCTCCGAGCACACGTTAATAATTTTCCAGCAAACATGATTAATCTCACAACACACATTGATAATTTCCGAACATACATTATTAATTTCCCAACACACATTATTAATTTCCCAACATACATTAATATTTCCCAACACACATTATTAATTTCCCAACACACGCTATTAATCTCCCAACACATATTATTCTTCTCCCAGCACAAAGATAATTGACGTCTTTTCTAATCGCACGTTATTAATCTCCCAGCACTCATGATTAATTTCCCAGCCTAGAATGTGAATCTCACAGCAAACATTATTTTCGCACGACAGACTATAAATCTCACAGCACCCACTATTAATCTGCCAGACACATTATAAATCTCACAGTACACGTTATTAATTTCTAAGCAGAGATGTTAAATCTCCCAGCACAGATTATAAATCCCACATCACAGATTATAAACCCCACAGCACAGATTATAAATCACACAGCACAGATTATAAATCCTACAGCACAGATTATAAATCCCACAGCATAGATTATAAATCCCACAGCACAGATTATAAATCCCACAGCACAGATTATAAATCCCAAAGCACAGATTATAAATCCACCAGCACAGATATACATTCCTAAAACTCACCGAGGCAACATTTCCAGCGTAGACCTTTTCCCCCACCCAATATGTGTTTTGCTGAAATCGGAAGTGTTGCTGAGCTGAAAGACATGAATATCACAGCCTTGCTGTAAACCAACGTGTCAACCACCCTTTTGAGCGCGAACACAAAAGAATTACACATATAATAAACGAGCAGTTAATGTTTTGACCGGCACTGATAAAAAAGAATGAGATCGACCATCTTCGACATTAGGAACAAGACCAATAAGGCACCCCTAAAAAAAATGTATTTTTTTTGGGGCCATGTCTGTCATGCAGCTTGAAATCCATAACTTTGGAAAACGGACAGAATTAATCTCCAACCATTGAAATGATAAATTTATGTGAACCAAGCATAGGTCGAATAACAAACACAGCAACAATTTACAAACACAGCAGACCGTAATGCTTTGTCAAGAATAGACGAATAGTTCAGAAAGAGATTTGATTGGTAGCGATTCACATGATTTATGTGAACGCAAAAGAAGTACTTTCGTAACCCGTTTACTAGGAATTTCCGTAGCTTTCTATTCTCTGATTATCTTCTGTCATCACATTTACATTATTCCACTGCAGAGCACATAAACGGCGTCCGTGGCTTAGGCATTGCGAGTCGGACTCATAATTCCAACGTACCGCAATCGAAACCTACTGCTGGCCTCGTGGATTTTTATCATAGTATGGGGCGTCGTAGGTTAACCCAGCCTAAAATGGGTACCAGGATTGATGTCCTTGGGAAGTAAAGACGGCCGGAGTAATGCTGATCACATTACCCACCTAGTGCCGATT